TGAAGCAATTGATGCAGTCAAGCAATACAAAAATGAAGTTGTAACGCAACTAAACAAAAAGATAAAATTGGTTAAGAACTGATAGGGGCGGCGAATATGAATCTCCTTTTGAAGAAATATGTTTGGAAAATGGCATTATTCACCAAACATCTGCCCCTTACTCACCTCAATGTAATGGAATTGCGAAAAGAAAGAATAAAATGTTAAAGGAGATGATGAATGCCTTGTTAATAAGTTCTGATTTACCTTAGAACTTGTGGGGGGGAAGCTATTCTTACAGCTAACAAAATACTGAATCGAGTTTCCCATAGAAAAACGCGATCCTTTCCATATGAAAAATGGAACGGAAGGAAACCCAACTTAAAATATTTTAAAGTGTGGGGGCGTTTGGCTAAAGTGCAAGTTCCTAAACCCAAAGGGCAAAGATTGGACAAAAAACCGCTGATTGCGTTTTCGTAAGATATGCAAAAAATAGTAAGGCATATCGCTTTCTGGTTCATAAATAAGAAAATTCCGACATTCATATTAATACGGTAAAGGTGATGGCATTATATACGAACCACTACCTAGTGTTGTGCACGGATCGGATCGGATCGGATCGGATTTAGCACATTCGGATTCTAAAAATGCAATCCGAATCCATCCGAATTATATCGGATCGGATCAGATTTTAAGGTTTCGAGCGGATCGGATTTCGGATCGTATTATTATGCGTCAAGGTTAAACTAATATGTATATTTTCTATGTAAAAGAGGCAACACATTAAGAAAAATTCATGTTTATGCAATTATGACAGTACTATGGTGCCAATATAGCTAAATCTAGCAATTATAAAGGTAATAACCTGGAGGTTGATGTAAAGGAAGTACTCACTATCCGAAATTAAAGTGTAGAATTTATACATGCCCTAATAATTTCGGATTTCGGATCGGATCGGATTAAAACATTCCACTCCGAATCCAAAATCCAAAATTTTAATAAACACAATCCGAAATCCGATCCAATTCGAAATCCGAAATTAAATGGATCGGTTCGGATTTCGGATATCCGATCCGAATGAACAACCCTACCACTACCTGATCAGCTGGTATACGTTGATGATTTTGCCCACAGTGGCCGAGATGATATGATGGGAAGCCCTCAGAGGCCTGATGATGTTATGAAACATGTACCTATGCACGACATGACACTATAAATATTTCATGATTTACAGAGTTATCCAGACTTACAGGTTGAGTCATTTACTCTATATCTCTTCCATGTCTGTTATGTACTTATTTATGTGCCTTACATACTCGGTACATTATTCGTACTAACGTCCCTTTTGCTTGGGGACGCTGCGTTTCATGCCCGCAGGTCCCGATAGACAGGTCGAGAGTCCTCCAAGTAGGCTATCAGCTCAGCCGAAGATGTTGGTGCGCTCCATTTGCTCCGGAGTTGCTTGTTTGACTAGTATGATTTAGACGCGTATTGTTTGGTATGGCGAGGTCCTGTCCCGACCTTTATGTTAAGTGTGTACTCTTAGAGACTTGTAGATAGATGTCATGTATACGAATACTTGTATGGTCTTGCCGGCCTATGTTTTGAGTTTAAATGGAGGAAAAAACATAAAGACAATATTTGAGTAAAAATTTCAAAAACCTACCAGCAATCATTATTTTACATTCATGGCAATTAAATAAATACATTCCCTAGCAGAAAATCACTCAATCCCATTAAAATAGGGATGCTAGTTAATAATCCCTAAAAGTAAGCAAAAATAAAAGGAAAGATGATAACTTTCCAAAATGAAGCTCTCTTCCAAATTCCACTAAAATAGGCATATAATTAATGATATACAAATTCTACCCATCACAAGTAAATTACCGAGCTTTTATGTTATTATAATTTTATAAGCGATTGCTACTCTTCTTTAATTGAAATATACATCCACTCAATGTGTTTTCTTTAATAATATTTCATTGATTTTGTTATTAAAAATCATGTATAATTAATAATACGTATAATATTGGAATAAATCATGTATGTTTACCATAAACATCCTTATTCTTATATTCTGAAAAATATAAAATACACATATTTAGTGAAAATATATATGGTATGTATACATTACAAATTATTTATATGTTTGGTATAAGAAATAATCTTAGATGATTAACAATAATAACCATGTATAATTAATAATACCATATATTCTTAGAAAGATCAGCGCGTGGATTTTGCTTCTGTTAAAGTGTGTATATATAAATATAGATGGTATAATGATGGTATTCCGTATATCTATATTTGTTTATTTTTTTGTGTATATTTATATGGTATAACAAAGATATATTAATGGTATATATGTGATAGGCTTCCATAGCTTGATTGTATATATTAATTTTCGTCATCGCTGTCTCAGGTTTTAAAATTTTGAGTTCCAAATTTAATCACAATGAAAATTAAAAGAAGGATTGATACTTGGAAGTTGGAACGGCAATAGAATAAAGCAGTGAAGAGGTTGGAAAATCGAAGAAAGAGAGTCAACGGTAGGGGATAGTATGAGAGAAAGAGAAATAAGATATTAAGAATTTAAACATAATCCCTTGTTTAAAGAAAGAGTTAAAAAATAAATAAGTTACTATTAATTACTTTCAAATATGCTATATTTGGAATAAAATCTGGGGTAAATTTTAAAAATAGCCAGATTTACAACTGGTCGTTCAAAAATAGCCCAATTTCAAAAGTAATCGAAATTTAGCCACTTTTTATATAAAGATAAATCTGAGCAAAAACACTGTTCAAAACCCGGAAAATACTCCAGTATATTATGCTGGAGTTTCAACATAAGTATACTTGAACTCCAGCATATTATACTGGAATTCCAGAATATGCTGGAGTTCCAGCATAAGTACACTAGAACTCCAGCATAATATACTGGAGTTCCAGCAAGTATATTGGTCCAGTATAATATACTGGAGTTTGGAGCACCGATGCTCCAGTCTCCAATATATTATACTGGAGCCAGCAAAGTATACCGGTCCAGCATAATATGCTGGAGTTCATACACAAGTGCACCGAATTCCAGTATATTATGTTGGACCGGTCTCTATTGCAGCAAAATAGTGACTATTTTTCATTGACTTGGTAAACGCTGGCTATTTTTAATTGAGCAGTCCGAAAACTGGCTATATCGTGCTATTTTTACTAAAATCTGCTATTATTGGAATAATCACAATATGGTAACATTAATATAAATATTATTTTATAAGAGTCCTATGGTGTAAAAATTTCTTAAAAGAGGATCATGTTAACCTTATAGGCCTGTATATCATGTATAAGTTTTTATATCAGGTTAGGTCGTCCTATATTGAGTATTCTCCTATGTTTATTCTGGTTAAGCCATGACGGCCCGTTTGGCCCATTTGCCAATAAAAGTACAACAAGAAAGATATGTTATTACTCAGTTGAGTAAGGTACCGGGTGCTCGATTCGTTCTACTTCATTGACCACTGGACCACATCCTTGGTTACGATCATAATGTATTCACGATGTATGCATGCCTCAATAGAAGTCAATTAGAAGAAAGGAATAGTTAAAGCCTGTTACAATCCTAAGTGAAATTCTGATGTATGAAGCAAGACTGACCATTCTTGACAAATAAATCATACTAGCACACGGTTTCTCTCAGAAGGAATTGCCATTGCTTATTTATTCCTGTATTTCATAGAAGAAACTTCCACTGCACACATCAGAAGCTATACATTTTTTCCCGTAAAATACAATCAGATGCTATACATAGTCCCAAATGAAAAAGCATAGTTTACAATGAAGAAAGATCAACTTCATTTTGAAGAACTCAGCAGCATTCTTTCTACAGAAGCAAAGTTTTTAGTGCTAATGCAGAGTGAAAGAATATATTGTCTGTTTTTCAAATTAAGTGCACCATTTCGAACTCATACTCTAGTGCATATGGAAAAGAATGCAAAAGGACAGCATCAGGATTGATCGATTTGCTATCTATGAATTCACATAAACTTCACGTGCTTGATCTCAATTTGACTTCACATCCAGTGTTAAATCTTAATATCTAACATTTTCAAAATTTCACCAGATTTTCAATTCCCTCTGTACAAATTATGGAGCTCAAGAGTTTCAATTTTAAGATCCTCTAAATTTTTTTAAATCCAGTATAAGAAACTCAGTTTCTGGGTGAGTGTATAGACAGCTACACGAATTACTATAAACAACCTTTGAGACTACTTCAAATTATTTATAGATTTGACATGTATATTTTAATTCTAATCACCAAATAAATATGTTGGCATGTCTTATGAGTAAATTTATCACAGACAGTGTTAGAGAAAAAATAGAATATAGGACGAAATAATTAGGCCTTAATAGTGTAGCCACTGTCCTTAAGGAATTTAAAATTCCCAATTTCGTCGCTGTAGGGATTATGGCAGAATTCCTCCAGGATTCTACAAAGCCTCGGAAATTCGAGTTTCAGCAGTTAACTCGAATTTCCCACAAGAACACAATAGTTGTGAGTTGTAGAAAATAAGTAGAAGAGAAAGAGATGAAAGTTTCAGATAATTTCGTTTTGGAGATGATATAAGTATTTATGATACCTCTAAGAGTCTGTTGGAATTAACAAACTCATCTCTTCATAACAGGCACCTTTTAAAACCAATAGTCACCTTCTTTTGAATTTAAAAAAAAATATGTTAAAACGTTTTTCTGAAATTAAAAGGCTAAAAATGTTTTAATTAATCAAATAATGGGTGACTAAAATATTATTTCGGGCTAATCTTGACTACTAATAATATAGCCAAATTCCAATTTCCCTCCAAAACACCCTCAAAATATTCAAACTATATAAGACAAAGAAGTGCTTTTAAACACCTCTTCCTTTCTTTCTTTTTCAATGAGGGACAAAACAACCTCTTCTCAAATACTCCCATCGAACACTAACTAATCTAACAGACAGTGTCATTATAAAACATGAATAGCAGATACAATCAGCCAACAAAACAAGTAATTGGACATTAAATTTTGAATCAGTATGAAAAAATATTTACATGCAAATGTGTGAAGTATCCTTTAAAAATTAAAATTACAAGCATTTCATGTAAAGCAAGAGAGAAACTTGGAAAGAAGTAAAGTATGAAACATCATGTTTATCTGGTATAACAGAGGTACTCTGCCACGGGTTCAGCAATGCATCAGCTAAATTCCAGATTCCTCCAATAGCTTGAGGATACTGTGTTCAGGCGCGCTGATTGACGGAAGAATAACACGATTCATGGGTGGTCTAGGTCTTGTTCCAGCTGCCTCAGGCTCTGCAGTTGTTCCTTCCTGCATAACTGGAATATCTGCCCTTCTTCTCACTGCAGACACTCGCTCCTTCCATATTCTTCCATCCTGTGAGTGACACAACGTGTAAGTTCCCGGTTAGAAGTCCTAAGAAGTAGATATACAGATATAAAAAGGAGCTAGAGAGACAACGCGGCTGTATTATTTCTTGAGAAATACAAAGTAATTATGTTCTCTCAAACAAGATAAATTAGATGCTTCATTGGTTTTGACAAACCATACCACTATATCCAAAAGTTGAGCATAGACACATTATATAACCAACAGAGGAGAAAACAAGCAAAAGCATATAAATGGCAACTGGCTTTTCACTCAAAAGTGACCAATTAAGGTGTACACTATCGACAAAAGTATGAATCTTTCGTACAGCAGTTGCAGCAAACCCCTTTCTTTCCTTATATATATTTTTAAATTGTTGTTCTTTCCTCATATGAAGAGAAAAAAGAGGGTTGCGTATGGTCAACTTAAGATCAAGTGGAGAGCCTTGACGAAGGAAAAAGCTCAGGAGTTGGAGAAGAAGTTGTTGGCCATGGAGGCATGGAGGAGTAGGGGGGACCTGAGCGGTATGGGGGTTTGGAAGAGTAGTGGGGACGTGAATGATATGTGGACCACGACAGCAAATTGCATTAGAGAAGCTGCTTGAGGGATGTTAGGGGTCTCGAAGAGTTGCTCTGGTGATAGCATCCATGGCAGCTCAACATCATTAAAGGAGAAGGATGAAGCTTTGGAAGTTCCAAGAACGCCCATGACAAGGTCTCAAACGAAGAAATTTCAAGACAAGCTTAATGGGCTTCAATTGGCAATTAAAAAGTGTCTTATAATAGAAGAAAAGCTCCGGCACAAAGAGGATCTTTGGACCAAGCCTTGCAACTATTTGGAGGCCCAAATTAAAGTCCTAGAGGAGATGGAATGAGGCCAAAATATGCCCCAAAAGGGAGGAATTTTCATAAGCCCAAATAACCCCAAAAATAATTTCTAGAATATATTTTTAATAGTTGTGATAATCTATGTTGACTTGCATTGGTCTATGTGTATGTTGACTACATTGGTCTTAGTGTGGGTAGTCTTCTATGCTTCTAGGGAATATAATTCTCATTTATTGAAGTATTGACTAGCTCCTTCTTTACTACTATATAAAGGGGTGCTTGTCTTCCATTGTAGAAGAACATTGAAGATTAATATTATTAGTGTGAGTTCTTTTGAACCTTTGTGAATTTTACTTTGAGATTTATCGTGCAACCCTAACTAGTTCATAGCTTAAGGTAGTAAGATAATTTTCTTTCTTGTGATATCTTTGGTTTCTTTTGATATTCTTCGAAGGCGACTAATTTCTTTCACTAGTTGTTGTCGTAAGTTATTCAAACTAGAAGTCAAGATCTAAATCTAGTTCTTGATTAGCTTATCTCTAGTGAAGGCAAATGGTTCCAAACCAACTTGTTGCATTAGGATCTTGTCAAATCTAGATTAACATAATCTCGAGGTTCTTGGACCTTTCCTTGAACTTCCACATATCTAGTTTATTTTTCTTGCTTTTCTTAATTCGATTGCATTTCTTTACTGCTTCCGCATTGCTTCAACTTATTTTCTTTACGTTCTTGGATCTCCCAACCTTTGTGTTATCAAGTGATAATCAACATTCCGTTCTTGATAAGTCTTGGGGATTTCTGAACAAAGGAGCAAAAAAAAAAAGTTAAAGAAAAAATCGAAAAAAAAAAAACTTTCACAAAAAAAAAAGAAAGGGGAGAAACATATTGCTCTTCAAGAAATCAGATTTTATTTGTGTTCGTTTCCGACGTCAAGAAAGGAAACAAGACGAGGGGATTCTAGATCTGTAAGGATAAAAAAAAAATTAATTTTCTTACTCCTTTGATCTTGTTCTAAAAATCATTTTCTTGGTTCGAGTTTTGTTTCAACTAAATCCTACTCTTTCTAGGATTGGTTCTTCAGTTTCTTTAGTGCCCTAAACTTCCTTATTTTACTACTAAGGGCTTTGATACGAGTTGGGTTTAATTATAATCTACAAGGTATTTTCCAGAGGTTAATTGAGGGGGAAAATGTAAGAGTGGGTGAGAACAATTGAGGGAAAGAGCCAAAGTTTGAGTGATAGCTTTTTATTTCTTTTTAAAGATGTCTCATACAGGTGCTAGTGATAATGGCCCTTCAGGAAGCTGAAATCCGAGCAAGAAATGATTTCACTCTACAAGTCATGCATCAACAATTCGAGAGATGGAACTTGCAATTCCAAGAGATAAGGAATACTATTGCTGAACAAAATGAGACAATAGCTGCACTTAGGAGGGGAAATCAACCTGATGTACAACCTCAAAATAATCCTAGGCCTCATAATAGAATAAATGTACCCCATGGCCCTATTGTAAATCAAGAAAACCCTATAGATGATTTTGTTGATGACCTTGATGTAATTCTAGATAGGGTGGGAAGAGATAGGAGGGGACAACGAGGTAGAGTAGAAGATGATAATATTAGTAGCATAAATATGAAGATACCATCTTTCAAGGGCACAAGAGACCCAGACTTGTACCTTGACTGGGAGCGGAAAGTCGAGGACATCTTTGACTGTCACCACTACTCTGAAGGTAAGAAGGTTAAGCTTTGCTGATGTTGAATTTTCTAATTATGCTTCTATTTGGTGGAAAAAGCTTACAAGGGACAGACAACAAGATGGAGAACCACCCATTGCCACTTGGACCGAGATGAAGAGAGTCATGAGGAAGAGGTTTGTGCCTTCTCACTTTCAAAGAGATCTGCAATTGCGTCTTCAGACCTTGAAGCAAGGAACCATGACTGTTGATGAATAATTTAAAACTATGGATATGGCTATGATCCAAGCTAATTGTATGGAAGAAGAAGAGGCCACTATGGCTAGATTTCTTAATGGTTTAAATAGAGAAATAGCTGATGTAGTAGAGACACAACAATATGTAACTATAGATGAGTTAGTAGATTTGGCTGTAAAAATAGAAAAGCAAAACAAAAGAAGGCGGCAAGCTAGCTCATGGAGAAGTCAGCCAAACACCAATTCCAAGAAGTCATGGCCAAAACAAGAAATGATTTCTAGACCTCAAGAATACAAGGGGAAAGGTAAAGTTGATGAGAAAGGGGGAGGTAAAGCTTTCAATTCTATTTTCTCAAAACCTTCTAGTTCCATTCAATGTCACAAATGTCATGGAAGAGGTCATATGATGCATGAATGTCCAAATAGAAGAAATATTCTTTTGAGAGAAGATGGAGGATATGAGAGTGAAAAAAGTGAGGAAGAAGAGGGAGGAGTAAGTGAAGATGAAGTAGAACTTCCTAATGATGGTTTGGTTGGGGTAATTAGGAGGACTATAGATGGAGAATATGAGGGGAAAAAAAGTGAGGAAGAGGAAGAAGAGGAAGGTGTGAGTGAAGATGATGTAGAGTTACCTTTTAATGATGGTTTGGTTGGGGTAGTTAGGAGGATTATGACTATTAATTTAGGAATCA